CACTCCATGGCTTCACAGCTGGGGACACCATCGATCCGGAGGTAAAACACCATCCTCACACAAATATAGTAGGGTGGCACGATTTGGAGAAGAAAACTAATTGTGGAATATTTTTGACTGAATATTGCGATTTGATGCATGGAATTGAATGGATCATTATCATGTTATACTGTATGTGTTGTTTAATGTCTGGTAAAATATAATTTATAGGTTCATTTAGTTTTTTTTTGCTGATTTAATATTAAGGAATGTGATAAATATTGTAAAGCCATACGGAAGGTATGAACAAGAGGAATTTTAATACAATCTCTTCTTTTATACCTTTTTAATTAATGTTCTCATATTTGTTTTCTTAAATCCTCCCTTTTTTGAATTCCGTTATTGTTTTGAATTACATTTACCTCTCAGAATAGTCACATCAAGTCTTTACGTGAATGTCCTTGTTAAGAGAGAACTTTGTGATGAGGCATCACAACCTGTTCTTGAGTTTCAGTTATTACTTTGGTTCAGGTGTGACTAATGAATTATTATGTCACATAAAGACATTTCCTGCGCGCTCTGCAGAGAACATTCTCCCTCCCTCTCACTCCTCTCACTCACTCACTCACTCAGGTGAATGCTGTGGTTCATGAACTTGTTGTTGTGTTCAGGCTCTGGAGGTGGACAAACACCTGGGCACCGGGCAAATACAGCTGGCAGTTTCTTCTACGCGCTGCAACAGTAAGCTGTTGTAACGTGCTCTTCACACCACGACTGCCAAGAGGTCTGAAGGATCCAACGTGACCTGGCTACAGCCTGCACCCAGGTGAACAAACACACTTCTGACAAACGATGTCAGAGGGAAATGTCTGAATAATGTTTTCTTGGTGCTGGAACTGAAGACAGCCTCGTGCTGTAGTTCCTTTATAGCCCAACATTAGCCACCTTTAGCTTAGCGGTGGTGATGTGAAGTCATGTGACCGTGCTGTAGTTCCTTTATAGCCCAACATTAGCCTCCTTTAGCTTAGCGGTGGTGACGTGAAGTCATGTGACCGTGCTGTAGTTCCTTTATAGCCCAACATTAGCCTCCTTTAGCTTAGCGGTGGTGACGTGAAGTCATGTGACCGTGCTGTAGTTCCTTTATAGCCCAACATTAGCCACCTTTAGCTTAGCGGTGGTGACGTGAAGTCATGTGACCGTGCTGTAGTTCCTTTATAGCCCAACATTAGCCACCTTTAGCTTAGCGGTTGTGATGTGAAGTCATGTGACCGTGCTGTAGTTCCTTTATAGCCCAACATTAGCCACCTTTAGCTTAGCGGTGGTGACGTGAAGTCATGTGACCGTGCTGTAGTTCCTTTATAGCCTCATGTTAGCTTTTTACTTCAGAAATCATTAAGTGGTGTTAATATGTGGAGATTATCCTGCTGAACTAAAGGTGTAAGTATCATAAACGTTGAGATTATTTTCTGAAATAATCACATTTATACCAAGTGGTGCAGGAATGACTCCTTTATGGCCCAACATTAGCCCCCTGCCTTCAGGGTCCAACACAGAAATACCACATCCCTGCACCACTATTACTATTTCCCATTACCTTTTGTTAATGAAATAGACCACCTCGCTTTTTAATGTTTTTAAATCTATGGCTGTATTTCCTGTGTAGATCCGGAGTTTCTTGCCGATGTGCAGGAGTGGAAGAAGAGTCTCGCAAACTTCTCCTCTCAGGTGGTCGGACAAACCCAGGTTTTCCTGAACGGCTCGGCGGAGGAATGTCGCTTCAGAGAGTGCAACCTGGGAAACCTGATCTGTGACGCCATGGTGAGGAAATGGGACGTAGATAAATAAAAATAAAGGCATCGCAGATGGAAATGAGCTTTGAGTAAACTCTACGACTAAATCATCTGTATTCGATTGTACGATCTCTTCTTACCTCAGCGACTGCCTTTCTTTTTATGTTCCAACAAGAACCATTTTAGGAATCTATCCCCGTGGATATTGGAACAGCAAAGTCCCTTGAATTGTTTAAAAGTAAATCTTTTTTAAATGGCTTTTAATTTGGGTTAACTTTCAATTCTCACTGTCCATGTTTTACTGTTTTCTTTCTGTCTGGCTTTTATTTTACATTTTAAATTTTCTTTTTCAAATTGTTTCATTTGAACCTATTTGAATCTGTTGTCAGTTTTACTTCAAGGGAATTTCATTAGGATCACTGTTTTATCTTCTCTATCTATATTCATTTTAATATTGTTTATATGTTTTCTTCTTGTTCTGTTTGTGCATGAAAGATGCTCTACAAATAAATGTATTATTATTATTATTATTATTATTATTATAAATAAATCGTGATCGTAAAGTGTGACTGTGGCGGTGGTTCCTCTTTGTTTCTCAGATTTACAACAACATCCGGTTCTCCGACGGCCTGCAGTGGAACCACGTCAGCGCCTGCATCTTCAACGGAGGCGGAGTCCGGACCTCCATCGACGAGAGAACCAGGAACGGTGCGTCACTCCGTTAAATATATAGTATTTCAATCAGGTGTAAACACTTGTCTTTAGCATCCTTTTTTAATGCTAAATTGTTTCTTAAAAATACTTATTTTTTATGATCTGTTAGGGAATCATTTGCTTAGGTTTTCAACCTTCGACACAGTTAATCATTTTCTCCTCTCACGGTCTCTTTCCCATGGCGTAGGTCTACGGCCTTGGGTATCGCTGCTATCTCTGTTAAGGGGGAGGAGCTTGGGTGCATTGTTGTTGCCAGCTTATGACCGAGCCGCCATGAGGTAGTTTACTGTTCAGGGACATCTAGATGCCCTTCTTTTATCTGGAACGTAGGTTCCCAGGCGCACATTATTTTCTATGGACGAGAGCTCTAGTTAGATTCAGGGTCCATATTGGTTTAGTCTCGCTGATAAAGAATGTTGATTATTACACTCTGAACTAGTTCAAACCTCGAGCTACAGAAGAGTTCTTCAGAATCGATTGTGGCATCTCAACCGTGTGGTCAGATCGTGAATTCCCTGGCCGACAAATAAACCGTCAGTGTTTGCCATCAAAGCTCCGGCTCTTCTCGTGTGTCTCTGAGTCCTGTTTCCAATTGCTTCAGAAGTTTCCCTCACAATATATCCTTGGGCCTGAGTGGCGCAGTGGGCTGTGTGTTTGATCATCAGATCAGCGGGGCGTTGGGAAACTCCAGTTCGAAACCCACTTCCGCCGCCACTGCGTCAGGCCGTTGTGTCCCTGGGCAAGGCACTTCACCCGAATTTGCTCCTGTGGGTATTGTCCACAGTTTGTAAAGCGCCTCGATGACTTTGAGGTGTGAAGATGGATGGTGTGGCGCAGTGGGCTGTGCAAGGGGGCGAAACCCTCCGCTGCGTCTGTAAAGCCGTTGTGTCCTTGGGCAAGACACTTCACCTGAATTTGCCCTGTGGGTATTGTCCACAGTACCCACCTTTAGCTTAGCG